CAAAATATCAGCCGCACGTGCGTAAGAGACCAAAATAAAGCACATGTGTGTATATGTGTGTATGTGTGCGTGTGAATTTGCATTTAGCCAAAATTGTGTTGATTACATTTGGTGTATGCTGTGATGCCTTTCTATACAAACGTAAAGCTTAAGAAAGCAGCAAATAAAACGGTAAGAAAACCCACAGGGTATGAAAGAAAATGTTAATAAGTGTACATGTGCATGTGAAAGGACACCTGTGGGACCCTTTTTGCATGCAAATTTTCGGTAATATAAATAGCATATTAACATGTATACGTGTGTATTGCCATGCAGCGCATATGCAGATTGGTGTGCAAATATAACGGCATACAAATTTTAGTGACAGCTATCAACGCCTACTTAACATTTCTTTAATGACTTCAACCAAAATCGACCTTAAGGGAGTAAGGTATTATTAAGCAAGATTAACACAGAGGGTTCGAAGAAAACAATTTAGAAGAGGGAAGCTTTTCGAGTGTTCAAATATGTTAAATTACCGCACGAAAATCTCAAACAGTCTGCCCCGCGAAAACTCGAGCTCACTTCGAGAGAGCTCATACAGAAACACAGCTTCTCTAAGGTAAAGGCTAAGTGCTAATATCTCGATATTGCGTTAAAATAATAAAACTATTCGTATCTTTCCTATCAGTCAAAACAAAGCGGACTAAAAAGTATCTTCGAACTTCTTCATATTTCCGACCAATCCTACAAAAACAAAGCTCAAGTAGCGGTTATGTCGAAGTTTAGATAAGTTTGCAATTCAATTTATTGTTACTAAAGCGAAAAACGTGACTTGAACGAACATTGTTGCCGTGCCCAAGCTCCAAACTTCAAGCTTACGAATCGGTATAATCTTTAAATGGAACCGATCTATTCTAATGATCTTCGTACTATATTCACTTAGCGCTGAGGCTGCCGTTGAATCCAGAAACTGAACCTAGAAACTGAACATAGCTATTGTACTGATAGCAACATGAGCCGCAAAGGCACCAATGGTATATTTCATATACTGGTACGAATAAGCCATACACTTTGAGGCTTCCATTTGCTTTCCCCAGACAGTGGTACATATCCAGCAATGCTCCGGTTTTATAATCGGAGAGAACTGAACTGGAATCGATACGGATTTTCTATGAAATATTTGAGGGTTATAGACAACTTCATTAGTATCTCAATTTGCAACTTCTACGCTCTAAGTATAATATCCCTTCGTACCCGGTTGACCCAACTGTGCGTAATCAACTGCATCGAAACAACTTTTGTTTACAGTCTTTGAATTAGACTTCTCCTCAACTAAATATCATTAGCGGAACCCCAGTAAATTGCGATTGCAGTACGTTTAAAGTCTCTTAAAGTTAATTCTTATTAGTCAGTTGTGCTAAATCGAAACAGCGAAACTGGGCACGAGTTGCTGCTCAATTAGCAGGAGTAATAACTTTTCATGAAAGAGCAGAGTTCATAGATAGTATCCATAAATAGAGAATGACCACCACCACCAGAGAGTAGAGAAGAAAACGTATATCCGTTTCGAACTCTGGGCCCACATCATAGTGCACCAGAGCTTAAAAGCGTCAATTGGACTTTTTGAAGCATTGAACTCTATTGCCATGTCAGAGTTCACCAGAATCTGCAAACTAGTAGCATTGTGCTTCATCGTTTGATTTTGAATCGTAAGGTAAATTTAGGCCCGATCTTAAGACAAAGAAATCATTTGCACTAAGAAATCAAAATGAGAACTAGAGAATTGTGCTGAATACTCTAGATAAAATTAATGAAGTTTTTGCTATTTCTTTTGTAATATATTTATTTTTGCCTTTTTTCAACAAAAAACATTTTTACATAATATTTTATAAGATCACTTCTTCAGACAAAGTATGACAGCAATTTAAACAATACTTGCAAGGTTAAACAAGTATATGAAATTTCATGCATCAAAACTCTGAGCAAATAATTGAGCATTTGTATGATATTTAAAAAAAAAAAGTCTACAACTTTTTATGGAAAAACATAACCTGAAGCGCCACAACAAGCAACAATGCTTCACTTTGACAAGCGAAGTGCGAAAGTAAATAAATATAAATGATTTTATTGATATATTAATCAAATAAAGCAATTGATTTGTGAATACAAAGAGCTCTTCAAAAATCAATATATACCATATCTATATGCAACACTAATGCACTATGTATATTTAAATAATGATGAAAAATTAATAATAAATTTTGCAAAGTGTGTAACTCAAATGACACTTGTGTAAGACTTGAGAGAATAAATAAATTTTAATATTTAAATTGAACTAGAATATAAAAAATAATTAACTATTAAAAACTTTTT